TGGCACAAACGTGGAGGTCAGAAGACACCCTCAGGTGTTGGTGCCTGCCTTCTACCTTGGTTGAGACAGATCTCTCGTTTGCCACTGCTTACACCAGGCTAGCACACCCTGGAGCCCCTCCCTCAGTTTCCTCTGGTCTCTGTGGGAGGGTTGCAGGTACAGATGCTTGTCAGGTTTACATGGGTTCTAGGGTCCAAAGTCGGGTCTTCACTCTTGCCTGGTGATTCCCAAGCCTTCTCTCCAGCCCTCTCTCTTTTTTAAAACTTATCACACGAGACAAGGAAACCTCTCTGCCTTGCCCCCGTCCCTCCTCCTCTTGTGCCCACAGATCATGTGGCCCTGTCTTCCAGGCGACTGCTCAGAGCTCTGCTTTTTTAGGGGGTCCAAGACTGGTGATTACAAGGCACCTCTCCTACTTAAAAGTAGGAATCTCACCACCGAGGAAGTAACTGAGGGATTCCAAAGTTGGGCTTGACGCCCACATGGCACAGGAGGCTGCATGAGCCTGAACTTGGGGGTGTCTGGCAAAGAGGGGTACACCCGTGGGAAACATAAAAGGTGGGGTCTGCATTCGGCCTTTGCACTCTCTAGGATTTCTTGCGGTTACCATGGCTTAGCACGCTATTTCCCACTTGGTGTATCTAGTCTGTCTGAGACTTTGTTTTAACACATCTTACAGGAATGTAGGTACTGATCATTTACTTCATTATTTATTTATTGGGCCAAATCACTCCCACAATTCTTTTGCCTTCCAGTATAATCTGATTTGGTTTTCAACATGCTTTTAAAGTAAAGAAATAAATACAGCGGAGGCTTGTTAAAGGTGATCACCAGGGAATGGGCCTTGAACCCATAACTTTAAAGTAATAGCCCCATTACAGGGCGGGGCGATGGGTTTTTAACTGTTCCCAGGCATTTAAGTCAGAAGGGTGAGGGGCTTACCACACAGTCTGGGCAGCTCCAAGTCCTTCCTGAGGCCATTTAACCTCCATTTACAAAGAAATAAAGCGAAATTGATGCTGATCAGGCCGGCTGGGGGATATTTCTGATCCATAAAAGCCCTCTGTCTGCAATTTGTGGAGTGGCCCTGTCACATGGGAAAGGCCTCACTGATAAAGATAGAGCTTTATGGCCCGATACTCACGGCTAACAGCAACCTAATGCCACATTTTCATTTCTCTGCAATTAATGTTAATGTCGACTACGAAATTGTCATTAAATACCATTTTAAAATCCATTCAATTTGCATATGCAAAGCTCATTTACCATCACAGGAGATGCAGCAGGCACTTCATCACGTCTTTGCCCTGGAATTGTGGCCACTCCGTTTTATAGCAATTTAAGATTTTTATATTGGGAACTGATGATAATGCATGGCCTTTTTGAAACCAGCTGACTTGAAGGATGGAAAGCTGAAGCCCCCAGGGACCAGAGGTTCTGGGTGTCTGTGCCATGCCTACATGAGAAAGAAGGAGACCCTAGGGAGGAGCCTCAGATAAGGAGCCTGCCACCTGACTGGAAGCCTGACTCCATCAGCGGCAATGCTGTGTGACCTTGGAGTTTTCTCCTCACCTCTCTGAACTCTCTACTTCTCCTGTTTTCAATAAGAGCTCCCAGTCAAGTGATTGCTAATGTATGTTCTAATATTTAATGTTTCAAATAGAAGTCTACTTAAGAATCTGGGCCAAGCTCTGACTTGTATGAATTTGAGGAGGTCAGTTAACCCCTCCCGAATTCCTGTGGGTAGATAGGACCTCTACTAGTCTCCAGTGAATGTCTAATGAAGGTTTATAGAAAAATGGGGAGAGAGAATGAGGTTACTGGTATGGCTCCCCTATTACACTGGAGGAGGGAACAAAATTCCCAGTGAAAAAGATTGTCAAAACTCAAGACACAGCGATCACATTCTAGAAGCCCATATATAAAACAGGAGAAAGTAGGAAGAAGTTCAGAGAGGTAAGCAGAGCTCCCAAGGTCACACAGCAGGTAGTTCACTGAGCTGAGCTGAACTAAGCTGGCAGGCTCCTTGTCCAGTGCCCCCTCCTTTGGGGACTTGGGAACAGAGACAGAACTGGTACCAGAGGCTGACTCTTGACCCAGACCCCTGATACCAAACTGTCTTGAGGATTACAGGGTGGGCTACCATGGTAACTCTACAGTCTGCAGATGAGGAGGGCACCTTCACGAGGTTGGACTGCCATGATCCAAGAACCCAGGTGATCAGTCCAACCCAGAAGCAACTTTCCCACAGGCCTCACCATTACCACATCGTAGTGGTGTTTGCTCCACCCGTGACCTTGGGCTATAGGCCCCGAAGGAGGCCATGCTTCTTGTTGTTGTACATGACCTCTTAAAAAGAGAGGAGAGAGGGGTCACAGAATGGGCGGAACACTCCTTAAAAATTTCCTGCTTCACTGAAAGCTATGCTGGAGACTCAAACCTGTAGGCTGAAGACAGACGCCCCAACATTACAGAGGAACTTTGGATGACTGTCCAGGCAGCCAGCTGTCTCTGTCATTTCTAGAATTATGAAAGTTGCTTGCAATGTACTTCCTGTTTACTCAGATAATACTATATCCTTCTGGGGTCTTTGATGGAGTTAACACTAGATAGTTATAGTTACAGTTTTCAAATATAAGATAGATGATAGAATATTTTCTTTAATTTTACCAAATACAAATAGACTAGATATTATCTTGCTTGATAACTGTTTTGTTATATATAATTTTGCTATGTTAAAGTTAAAATCTTCCTTTTTGATTAGGCAGAAAAGGGGAAGTGCTGTGGGATGTCTTTCTTTATGCTGTGAATATGTGTGGCTCCCATTGGATAATAAATAAAGCTGTTTTGGCCTATGGCAAGAAAGCTTACAGCCAGGAGGGAAATCCAAGCAGAGATACAGAGAGAAGAAGGGCAGAGTCAGGAGAAACACCATCCCACTGCCAAAGGAACAACAAGATACCAGCACACCAGTAATGCCATGGCCAAGCGGCGACATATAGATTAATAGGAATGGGTTAATTTAAGATGAAAGAGTTAGTAAGATGCCTGAGCCATAGGCCAAACAGTTTGTAATTAATATAAGCCTCTGAGTGATTATTTTGTAAGTGGCTGTGAGACCTTGGGTGGTAGAGATTTGTCTGGACTGCTGGGCAAGGCAGGACCTGAGAAACTTCCGTCTACACCACATTCCAGGTTCTAAGGGTGGTGTGCACAGAAATGCACTTCTAATGGGAGGTTGGCATGCTAATGATAAGGGGTTGCTGGACTGGACTCTGAAGAATGAGAGTATTTTTTCCTGGTGAGATGGTATGAACTGAAGTTCCCAGGAAAAGCTACTTGGGTATTAAACATTCTACAAGGCTGATTGACTGACCTTAAGGATTGCAGAGAGTTGGAATGCTGCAGGCCCAGAGCCAGATTTTCTTGGGCTATTTTTAGCCCCCTTTTTAGGCCTTCCTTGCCCACCTGTGTCTGAGCTAACAGCCTTTCGTAAGGTACACACAGAACCCCTCTTCCACCAACCCAAAGACTAAGAATGTCGTCAGATGGCATCTGAGGCCTAAGCAGAGGCTTCCCTGCTAGGAGCTGGCGGACTTTTGGGGGTGAGTTTCAGTTTGGGAAGAGGAGCAACAGGAGGGACTGTGGCTGACGGTGACAGGAATGTGCCCATCCCCACGGGTTAAAATGATAGGTCTTGTATTGCCTGATTTTACCACAATAAACCCATGAGAGGAAAAAGAGATTCCAGCCAACCAGCAAGCAACAAACAAAACAGGAGAGGAGTGGTGTAGCCAGTTCCTGGGGGCAGGGGATTGGGTTCCCTGAACGGCCGAGCTTGAGCCCATGGCCTTCCCTGGAGTCAGGGTGAAATGGGTACCCATAATGCACATGAGCTGACGTAAGGGGGAAAATCTGGAGAGAGACACTCTGATGGAGGCCGGCATGAGTCCGCAGAACTAGGGAGGTCTGCAGCGACTGATCTGAGCTCCAGACTGGTCATGTCTTTGCTGTAAAGTCCATGGCACTGATATTGGCAGTGACCCTTGTGGTCTATGGGATCATAGGACCAGAGAGCTTGTTTCTCAGGGTAACCCAGGCTTCCGGGGTACAGGCCAGATTTTCGACATTTGTCTGATGCTTTGCGGCAGGAGAGCTTTCATAAGTCAAACACTAATAATACAGTTTACCATGGAATAGTCAACCCAACAAGATTTACCTTTATTTTATGTGAGTGTGTGTTTGCCTGCATGCATGTATGTGCACCATGTGTGTGCAGCGCCCACAGAGACCAGAAAGGGTGTCAGGTCCCCTGGAACTGGAGCTACACATGGTTGTAAGCCCCATGTATGTACGTGCTGGGAACTGAACCTGGGTCTTCTGCAAAAGCAACAAGTGCCCTTAACCACTGCCGAGCCATCTCTCCAGCCCCCAATCTCCTCGCTCTTGGGTTACATTTTGAATTGCATCATCTTAACTACGACACAGCTCATGTGTGCCGAGGGCTCACTGTCCAGCTGCTATAATCGAGTCTTCAATGAAGTTAAGTCTTAAAACCTCTTAGCAAGGAGGCGGCAGGCACTGCTATGATCCCACTATACAGGTACGGGAACTGAGGCAAGGCTCCTGGCTAGCCACGGTCCAGACTCAAGTCCTCATACTTTCGCAGCAGGCACTTGGCTGTCTGAGCCCTCTTTCCAGCCCCAGTTGGTAGATTTTGTTTTGTTTTGTTTTGTTTTGTTTTGTTATTTTAAGACAGGGTCTTATGTAGCCTAGGCTGGTCTCAAACTTATTGGCAACGTAGACAAGAATGACTGTGAATTCCTATCCTCCTGCCTCTGCCTTCAAAGTACTCTGATTGCAGGCGTGTGCTACCACACCTGACCAATGACCTTGAATGAGAAAAATCTTCAGCCAGTGTACAACTGTTTCTGTTCCCCGGTGGTCTTGTCACCCTCGTTAGCCACAGAGAAGGTAGGAGCTGGATTCCCTGACCTTACCGTGAACGGATCCCAAAGGTCACGTTGGGAGGGGCAGGGGGTGGCTCCTTCTGTCGCCGCTCTTCCTGGTCGCTGATTCGGATGTCATTAAGTTCACGATAGAGCATATTTTCCCGGGCAGTCACCAGGCCAGCTTTGACAGCCCCACGGTTCATGGCAATATAGTTCCGGGTCAGCTCATGGGGGCATGTGGGTTGCTGCTTAAACACATTCCAGTGCCCAATGGCTACAGGCAAGGAGACAACAGGAGGGTGGGTGTCAGTGGGAGGAGAGGGTACAGGGCTCCCATCACTCCCATCACAGGGGACAGTGCTGCCTGGCCCTGGCCAGCAAGGTCTCCCAGAGATCCCAAAGCGGGCATGTGATGGTCAGCTTTAATTGTCAACTTAGTTTCAAGGAGAGATTGTCTACATGGGGTTAGCCTGTGGGGGGTTGTCTTAACTAAGTTAATTGATGTGGGAAGATCCAGTCCACTGTGGGTGGCACCGTTCTTAGGCAGGGGGTCCTGGACTATGTAAGAGTAGAGAAGTCAAGCTGAGCACAGGCAGGCATGTGAGCAGGTGTGCATTCACTCTCTCTGCTCTTGACTGAGGATGTAATATGTCCATCAGCTTTATGCTTCTGCCTCTGACTCTCCTGCAGTAAGGGGATCCCCTGTAGTAACCTGGGATTGTGAGCTAAATAAGCCTCCCTACCCCCTAAACTGTTTGTTGTCAAAGTTTTGTTCGTTTGGTTGGTTTTCCCCAAGACAGGGTTTCTCTGTGTAGCTCTGGCTGTCCTGGAACTCGCTCTGTAGACCAAGCTGGCCTAGAACTCAGAGATCTTCCTGCCAGTGTTGGGACTAAGGGTGTGTGCCACCACTGCCTGGCTTTGTTGTCAGAATATTTTATCACAACAAAAACCAAACCAGTTTGGCTTGACTTTGGCTTTGACTTCCAATGGGACCTCGGGGGTTGGCCCTGAGACTGTTCGGTGCTTACTTCTTGGTAAAGAACAAGGACAGCCACACTGGGGGAATCTTTGATGGTCCCCTCCCCCTCACTCCTGAACCCCTCATGACTCTCCTCTTTGGCCGTGGTCTTACCACTGGGATACCAGCTCTTTCCCTCTTTTTTTCCCTCTGTCCCTGCCAAGCAGCTTTATCAAATCTGGCTGAAAATGGGGTGTGAGTCTCTCATCCAAATGAGTCCTCTCGGGTTGGGGATTTAGCTCAGTGGTAGAGGGCTTGCCTAGCAAGCTCAAGGCCCTGGGTTCGATCCTCAGCTCAAAAAAAAAAAAAAAAAAAAAAAAAAGAGTCCTCTCCAATCTCTGTGCTCCCAAGGACATCCACTCACCTTCAGGAACCCCTCCATCCAGCCCCCGGATGTAAAGTCCGTAATTGAAGTTGATGCCAGGCAGGCTGCAGCTTCTCTCCCGAGGCTTGCCAAGCTCTGCCTGTTGGGGGAAGAGGGCTGACGTAAGGGGCGGAATCTCAGACTTAGCGGAAGTGATCACAGTCTCCCCCGGCAGTAGGGGGCTGATAGGGCTCTTCCTGTGAGTGGCAAGCAAGCTGCACGTGGAGTCCTGAAGCATCTACACAGCAGAGCAGCTAGCTGAGTCTGGAAGTCCAGACCCATTATCCTGGAACAGGAAAAAAGTTCAAGAAAACTGAAGGAGGTGACAGGACACTGTGGACACTGCATACTTGCCGAGGACAGCCCCAACAGTGCACAGGTGCCCGCGGGGAGCCGCTTCCTCTTGAGTTCTCACCTGGGGGCGGGCATGGGAACTCATGTCACCCTCTTGGCATCTGGATAGTGAATCCTACCTTCTGGGTGTGCAGAAAGCTCTTCCAGGATGTCATCACCATCAGCCACAGACCGCCCCCCATTTTAGAGACAAATCACCCACAACTCCTAAGGGATGAGGAGTCTGTCCAGGACAGGCAGATTTAGCCTATGTGAGGAACCCTCACATAGGAATGAGCAACGGACCCACAGTAGGGAAAGCTAGACCGTTTCTTCTATGATCTTGCAAGATTGGGAGCCACCCTAGACAGTGGTGGACATGCCTTGAGCACAGAGCAGTCATGTAACCCCGGGGGCTGCTCCTGCTCCTGCCCTCCTTTCCTTGGGCGTATTGAGAGTGGCGGGGAGTGGGGGGTGTACATATCAGCTGCTTACATTTCTCTATTTCTTTCTCTTTTTTTAACATTTATTTATGGAGGTGAGCGTGGCAGACAGAGGGTGTTTTAGTCAGGGTTACTATTGCTATTGTGAAACACCGTGACCAAAAGCAAGTTGAGGAGGAAAGGATTTATTTGGCTTACATTTTCACATTGTAGGCCACCATGGAAGGAAGTCAGGGCAGGAACCTGGAAGCAGAAGCTGATGCAGAGGCCATGGAAGCAGAAGATGCTGCTTACTAGCTTGCTCCCCATGGTTTGTTCAGCCTGCTTTCTTATAGAACCCAGGACCACCAGTCCAAGGGTGCCCCCCCCCCCAATGAGCTGAGCCTTTCCCCATCAATCACTAATTAAGAAAATGCCCTACAGGCTTATGTCCAGGCAGATCTTAGGGAGGCATTTTCTCAGCTGAGGTCCCCTCCTCTCAGATGACTACAGCGTGTGCCGAGTTGACAGAAGACTAGCCAGCACAGAGGACAGGCTGTGGGACTCCTTCTCTCCTTCCGTGAGAGTCCCAAGAGCTGAACTCAGGACGTCAGGACTGGCGGCAAGCGCTTTTACCTGCTGAGTCCGCTTGTCCCATATTTGTCTTTTCTCAACTGAGACTACATGCATTTATCTCTACTTTTTACACACACCCCGTTTATTTTAAAGCTTTTTAGACATGTGAACATTTTTAGACATTCATCACATCTGTAGATTGTTAAACAAACTTAGCTGCTAACAATATTTGACTTGCTGGGAGGTGGTGGTGTGGTGGTGGTGGTGCACGCCTTTAATCCCAGCACTCGGGAGGCAGAGGCAGGTGGATCTCTGTGAGTTCAAGGCCAGCCTGGTCTACAGAGCGAGATCCAGGACAGCCAGAAAACCCTTTGTCTGTGGTTACACAGAGAACCTTGCCTTGAAATACAATAATAATTTTTGACTCTAATCTTCTAGTAGGTGGGCATAGCTTGACTAGCAGATGCCTGCAGGGACCCAGCATTTCTGATGTTTCTCTAGGTGGGCAGTTGTCTTGACAGTGGACCACTCTATGCTTTTTCCTAGGACTGGCTTCTTTCTTAAGCTCCACACCTCTCTAGAATGGAAGTTCCCTGAGGCTGGAGGCCCTGCCTTGCCAGGCACACAGAGCATCTCCTACACCTTCTTCTTCACATGTGAATACTCTCCTGTGGTTCCTCCCATGCCTGCGCTCATTCACTTCTCACAACCATCTAGGGCAGTGGTTCTCAACCTGTGGGTCACAACCCCTTTGGGGAGTCAAACAACCCTTTCACAGGGGGTCGCTTAAGACCATATATTTACATTAGGATTCGTAACAGTAGCAAAATTACAGTTATGAAGTAGCAATGAAAATAAATTTATGGTTGGGGGTCACCACAACATGAGGAACTGTATTAAAGGATCGCAGAGTTAGGAAGGTTGAAAACCACTGATCTAGAGGCTCAGGGCTCATCACCCCCACTTTTCAGATGGGGAGCATGAGACTGCATATGGCCCTGGATAGGAGGGGCAGAGTCTGGGGGGAATCCCAGTTTTCCATCTTCAGCCCATGAGCTGAGTAAATGTCAGGGCCATGTGGCTCTCTGGTGCCGTCAGTCTGTGGACCGTGGACACACTCTTGCTGGTGTATCTATGGTCACAGGCTGAGAGTACCCCCTAGTGGCCGGGATTATGTCTCCCAGGATCTGCCCATGTTGGGCCATTCTGAGGATCTGGCAGCTCCCAGCTTACAAAGTGTTCCATGGTGTCCCCCCTCCTTGTTGGGGTGTGGAGGAGCAGAAGTCGGGGAGTGCCCTTCAGCTGCTCACAGCTCTAGCTAGCTGTCTAGGACCTCACCTGCAGCCCTTGCTGCCTCTGCAGCTTTGGCTGTAGCCCTGCGGCTGAGGCAGAGTATCCCACCATCAGCTGATGGACCGATAGGCGTCCTGGCTCCATCTCCTATACTCCTGGTCTCCATTTACCCTTCCAGCCCTGTCTCCACTGCCACACCCTCATTCCCAAACTTAAAGTGTCCTCTCCCCCATCTGAGTGTCTGTACTTTCCTGAGATGGGATCTTTTGTAACATAAGCTGGCCTCAAGCTCACCGAGACAAGGATGATCTTGAATTTCTGATCCTCCTGCCTCCACTTCCCAAGTGCTGGGATTCCAGGCTTGAGTTGCCATGCCCAGTTTGTGTAGGGCTAGGGATCAAACCCAAGGCTTTGTGCATGCTAGGCAGTATCATTCTTACATCCTCTCCCACTCACTTGGGGATTGGAAGTACACCTCTTCATTGCCAGGAACATACATACTAGGCCCTCTTGTATACGGGTCATACAGTCCCTGAGGCTCCTCTTCTTGGTGACACATGGTAGGTGTGCAATAGATGCTTAAGATAAAAAGCTCCTTGGGGGCGTGGAGTAATAGCTTGGTGCTTAAGAGTGTGCAGTGCTCTTGTAGAGGTCCCAACCAACGTTGGGAGGCTTGCCACTGCTTGTAATTCCAGCTCTAGGGGAATCTGATGCCCCCTTCTGGCCTCTATGAGTACTGCAATCAGGTACACATACCCAAATACAGACACACACATTCACATAAATAAAAATAGTTTTGTATTTTTTTTGAGAGAGGGTTTCGTTATGTGGCCTTGACATGCCTGGAACTCACTATGAAGACCAAGCTGGCTTTATATTCATGGAAAGCCGGGCGGTGGTGGCGCACACCTTTAATCCCAGCACTCGGGAGGCAGAGGCAGGCGGATCTTTGTGAGTTCAAGGCCAGCCTAGTCTACAGAGCAAGATTCAGGAAAGGCGCAAAGCTACACAGAGAAACCCTGTCTCGAAAAACCAAAAAAAAATTTTTTTTCACAAAAATCTGCCTGCCCCTGCCTCCCAAGTGATGGGATCAAAGGTGTATATCACCATGGCAGGCTAAAAAATAAATAATCTGTAAAAGCCTCTTGGAAGAAGCCTCTGGGATGGCAGTCTGGACAGGTTCCTTGATGCCTTTCAAGGTCATGGTCTCCCCAAAGCCCATAACGGTATCTCCCACAGCATGCTGCACCTTGACAACATCACTCTGCAAAGGAAGACACAGAGGGCCACATGCCGCAAGAGTCCGTCATGTGAATGCCCAGAAGAGGCTGTCCACAGAGGCAGGAAGGTGCGAGGCTTCTGGGTCAGGGTTGGATGGTGAGTGAGGGATGGTGGGGCTGACTAAAGAACAGTTCTCTAGGAGGAGAGAAAAGCAGTTAACTCAAGGGCCGTACGTCTTACACACAGAGAAGAGGTGAACGGGGCGCTATGATGATTACATCTCAAACAAAGCCATGGGCGAAGTGTGAGGGAAAGTAGTTAAGTCAGCAATTGCCCAGTGTTTGGCTAGCTCCACTCTGTCTCCTGGAGGCTGTGTGTCCTATGAGGGCAGTGATGCAGTGTGTGTGTGTGAGTGTGTGTGGAGGGATGGGGGGATGCATGCATGTGTGCTTGTGTGTGCATGTGCATGGAGGTCAGGGAGAACCCTAGGTACCATCCTTCAGGACACTTTCCACCTTGTTTTCTTGCCACAGAATCTCACTGAGCCAGTAGGTTGCCCGTTAGGTTGAGCCTGGGAATCCTCCTGCGGCCTCCGCTTCCCCTGCACTGGGACCCCAGACATGTACCACCACGTTCACTCTGCATGAATTCTGGGGATCAAACTCAGGTCCTTGTGCTTGGAGGGCAAGTACTTTACCAGCTGAGCTATTTGCCCAACCCTGTTTGTTTGTTTGAATAGTCACTTTAACATTTTTAGAACAATATATATGGATTTTTAAGAGGGTGAAACAACTCAGTTGATCTTAACATGACTTGAAATATGTGATCACATATTTATAGGTTACATTTGGCTTCCCCCAGTACCCAGCAATGCAGTAGATGCTAGCAAACACGGCTTGGATAAGGGCATGAATGAACTAGGCCTGTGGTAAACCAGGTGCTGACAAACTCATCATGACACAGAGACTTATTATTCATTATGAAAGCTCAGCCTTAGCTTAGGCTTGTTTCTAACTAGCTCTTATAACATAAATTAACCTATTTCTATTAGTCTACATGCTGCCACGCAGCTTGTGGCTTTTACCTCTCTTCCTGCATGTCCTGATTCTTCTGCCTTTCTTCTTCCTCGAGACCTCTCTGTCCCCAGAAGTCCTACCTAACCTCTTCCTGCCTAGCTATTGACCATTCAGCTCCTTATTAAACAACCAGTGACACATCTTCACACAGTTTGAAGGAATAGTCCACAACAACACAC